AAAAATAAAAAAAAAGATGAAGACCATCTTGGCCAACATGCTGAAACTCTGTCTCTCCTAAAAATACAAAAAATTAGCTGGGCGTAGTAGCACACACCTGTAGTCCCAGCTACTCCGGAGACTGAGGGAGAATAGCTTGAACACAGGAGGCAGAAGTTACAGTGGGCCAGATCACGACACTGAACTCCAGCCTGACAACAGAGTGAGACTGTCGCCAAAAAAAAAAAAAAAAAAAAAAAATTAGCCCGGTGTGGTGGTGAATGCCTGTAATCCTAGCTACTCAGGAGGCTGAAGCACAATCACTTGAACCCGGGAGGCAGAAGTTGCAGTGAGCCGAGATCATGCCACTGTACTCCAGCCTGGGTAACAGAGCAATACCCTGTTTCAAGCCTGGGTAACACAGCAAGACCCTGTCTTAAATAAATAAATAAATTACCTACCTACCTACCTACCTGCCTACCAGCCAGGAGCAGTAGCTCGTGTCTACAATCCTAGCACTTTGGGAGGCCAAAGCAGGAAGATTGCTTGAGCCCAGGAGTTTAAGACCTGCCCGGGCCACATGACAAAAATACAAAAAGTACAAAAATTAGCCAGGCATGGTGGCACATGCCTGTGGTCCCAGCTACTCAGAAGGCTGAAGTGGGAGGATCACATGAGCCTGAGGAGGTTGAGGGTGTAGTGAGCTGTGATCGCACTCGGCCTGAGTGACAGTGAGATCCTGTCTCCAAAAAAAAGGTATCAATAAAAAGTTCTTGCCGGGCACAGCGGCTCACACCTATAATCCCTGCACTTTGGGAGGCCGAGATGGGTGGATCACGAGGTCAAGAGATCGAGATCATCCTGGTCAACATGGTGAAACTCCGTCTCTACTAAAAATACAAAAATTAGCTGGGCATGGTGGTGCACGCCTGTAGACCCAGCTACTCGGGAGGCTGAGGCAGGAGAATTGCTTGAACCCAGGAGACGGAGGTTGCGGTGAGCTAAGATCGCGCCATTGCACTCCAGCTTGGTTAACAGGAAAGAAACTCCATCTCAGGAAAAAAAAAAAGTTCTTAGCTGGGCGTGGTGGTGCATCCCTATAGTCCTAGCAACTTGGAAGGCTGAGGTGGGAGGATCACTTGAATCTAGCAGGTCAAGGCTGCAATGAGCTGTGATCATGCCACTGTACTCCAGCCTGGGAGATACACCGAGACCCTGCCTCAAGGAAAAAAAAAAAAAAAAAAAGGCCAGAAACAGTAGCTCACGCTTGTAATCCCAGCACTTTGGGAGGCTGAGGCAGGTGCATCACCTAAGTCCAGGAATTCAAGACCAGCCTGGCCAAGATGGTGAAACCCCATCTCTACTAAAAATACAAAAATTAGCCAGGTGTGGTGGCAGACGCCTGTAATCCCAGCTACTTGGAGGCTGAGGTGGGGGAATTGCTTGAACTCGAGAGGTGGAGGTTGCAGTGAGCAAAGATTGTGCCACTGCACTCCAGCCTGGGTGACAGAGTGAGACTCTGTCTCAAAACATTAAATAAATTAAAAATTTTTTAAATAAAAATTTAAAAATAGGCCTGGCGCGGTGGCTCAAGCCTGTAATCCCAGCACTTTGGGAGGCCGAGGCGGGTGGATCACGAGGTCAAGAGATCGAGACCATCCTGGTCAACATGGTGAAACCCCGTCTCTACTAAAAATACAAAAAACATTAGCTGTGCATGGTGGCGCGTGCCTGTAATCCCAGCTACTCGGGAGGTCGAGGCAGGAGAATTGCCTGAACCCAGGAGGCGGAGGTTGCGGTGAGCCGAGATCGCGCCATTGCACTCCAGCCTGGGTAACAAGAGCGAAACTCCGTCTCAAAAAAAAAAAAAAAAAAATTTAAAAATAAAAAATAAAAACACCAAGTGTGGGTAAAATATGGAGTAACTAGAAGTCACTCACTCATTGCCAACAGGAATGTAAAAAATGGTACAACCACTACGGAAAACAGTTTGGCAGTTTCTTATAAAGTTAAACACACAGCAATTTACCCCTAAATATTTACGTAAGCCACATGAAAGCATAATATTTACAAGAAACCTTGAAAACAAATATTCATAGTATCTGTATTCATAATAGCCAGTAGTTGTAAGCAACCCAAATATCCACCCATACGTCACAAACAAAATAGTTATGTCTATACCATGGAATATGATTTCACCATAAAAGAAACAAAATACTATACACACAAAGATATGAATGAAATCTCATAAACATTATGCTAAGCAAGTGAAGCCAGACACAAAAGAGTACATACTATATGATTTCACTTAATATTAGAAAACACAGCCAGGCACAGTGGCTTAGGCCGGGCAAGGTGGCTCACACCTATAAACCCAGCACTCTGGGAGGCTAAGGTGGGCAGATCACCTGAGGTCAGGAGTTTGAGACCAGCCTAGTCAACATGGTGAAAACCAATCTCTACTAAAAAATACAAAAAAATTAGCCGGACATGGTGGCGCACACGTGTAATCCCAGCTACTCAGGAGACTGAGGCTGGAGAATCTCTAGAACCTGAGAGGCAGAGGTTGCAGTGGGCCGAGAATGAGCCATTGCACTGCAGCCTGGGCAGCTAAATGAGACTCTGTCCCCAAAAAAAAAAACAAAAAAAAAAAACTCATTTATAGTAACAGAAACAGGTATCTAAGGCAGGTAGATAAAGAGTGCAGAATAACTAACTGTAAAAGGGAACAACAGAACTTGTGTGGGGTAATGGAAATGTTCTCTATTTTTATTATGGCAGTGCATTACATGCATAAATACGTTGGTTAAAACTCACTGAGCTCAGCCAGGCGAAGTGGCTCACGCCTATAATCCCAGCACTCTGGGAGGCCCAGGCAGGTAGATTACTTGAGGTTAGGAGTTCGACACCAGCCTGGCCAACATGATGTAACCCCATCTCTACAAAAACATAGGCCAGGAGCAATGGCTCATACCTGTAATCCCAGCACTTTGGGAGGCCGAGGCAGGGGAGGTTACATGAGGTAGTAGTACGAGATCAGCTTGGTCAACATGGTGAAACCCCATCTCTACTAAAAATACAAAAGTTAGCCAAATGTGGTGGCTCACACCTCTAATCCCAGCTCATCAGGAAACTGAGGCAGGAGAATCACTTGAACCCGGGAGGCTGAGTGAGCTGAGACTATGCCACTGCACTCTAGCCTGGGTGACAGAGCAAGACTCCCTCTAAAAAAACGAAAATACAAAAGATTACCTGGGCACGGTGGCACACACCTGTAATCCTAACTGCCTGGGAGGCTGAAGCAGAACTGCTTGAATCTGGGAGGTGGTGGCTGCAGTGAATTGAGATCGCCACTGCACTTCAGCCTGGGTGACAGAGCGAGACTCCGTCTCAAAAAAAAAACAAAAACAAAAAAACACCTCACTGAGCTCTAAAACAGAATGTCTTTTTTTATTTTTTTATTTTTCTTTTTAAATAGAGACTGGTTCTTATTGTAACCTTGACCTCCTAGGCACAAGTGATCCTTCCACCTCAGCCTCTTGAGTAGCTGGGACTGACTACAGGGCAAATAGCTGAAACTACTGTGCATTCCACCATGCTGGGCTCCCCAAAGTGTTGTGTTTTTTTTCTTTTTTTTTGAGACGCAGTTTGGCTCTTGTCACCCAGACTGGAGTACAGTGGCACCATCTCAGCTAACTGCAGCCTCTGCCTCCTGGGTTCAAGCGATTCTCATGCCTCAGCCTCCCAAGTAGCTGGGATACAAGCACCCACTAGAAAGCCCAGCTAATTTTCGTATTTTTGGTAGAGATGGGGTTTCACCATGTTGGCCAGGCTGCTCTCGAACTCCTGACCTCAGGTGATCCGCCTGTCTCAGCCTCCCAAAGTGGTGAAATTACAGGCATGAGCCATGAGCCACCAAGCCCAACCTTTTTTTTTTTTAAAAGACATAGTCTCGCTCTGTCATCCAGTCTGGAATGTGGTAGAGCAATCTGGGCTCACTCCAACCTCTGCTTCCAGGGTTCAACTGATTCTGGTGCCTCAGCCTCCCAAGTAGCTGGGATTACCGGCACACGCCACCACGCCCAGCTAATTCTTTGTATTTTTAGTACAGACAGGGTTTCACCATGTTACCCGGGTTTGTCTCAATCTCCTGAGCTCAGGCAATCCACCCGTCTTGGCCTCCCAGGGTGCTAGGATTACAGGCATGAGCCACCGTGCCCAGCCCAAGGTGCTATTATTTTTTAGACAGGGTCTCACTCTGCCACCTAGGCTGAAGTGCAGTGGCATGATCTGGGCTCACTGCAACCTCTGCCTCCAGGGTTCAAGCAATTCTCCTGCCTCAGCCTCCTGAGCTGGGATTACAGGGATGTGTCACCATGCCCAACTAATTTTTGTATTTTTAGTAGAGACGAGGTTTTTTTGTTTTTGAGAAGGAGTCGTCTCACTCTGTCGCACAGGCTGGAGTGCAGGGGCATGATCTCAGCTCACTACAACCTCCAACTCCTGGGTTCAAGTGATTCTCAAGGCTTACCTCAGCCTCCCAAGTAGCTGGGACTACAGGCACACACCACCACGCCTGGCTAATTTTTGTATTTTTAGTAGAGATGGGCTTTTGTCATGCTGGCAGGCTGGTCAGGAACTCCTGACTCAGGTGATTCGCCCAGTGGGTATAAGCCATCACGCCCCTATGGTGCTTTTTAATGAATGTCAATTAGGTGCAAATAAAGCTGATTACAATTTCTAAAAGGATTAAAGTTTATAGATTTTACTTTGTATATAGATGTTCAGTACATTAGACAAAATCAAAATACAAAACATTCCTGAGATTTAACTAAACTCTGAAGAAAATATATGACTCTTGACTCCTACCAGTACACAAAAATTTCTTATTTATATTCACTGAATATTTACTTAACACCTACTTACCATATGCTAGTATGAACTGCAAGGAAAGACAGAATTCCAGAATAGAGAGAAGCCCATATGTAACTGGATAGAAGGACAAGATATTTAAAACTTACGTTGTTAGCAAGAATGCCCCATCACCACATCTTTCCAGAGCCTTTCGTGCAGGAGGTTTTGCTGCAAATTCTACAAAACCTTTTCCTGTAGCTCTACCACGATCATCCACAACCACAACAGCTTTCTCTACTGGACCAAACTGAGAAAATGCTTGCTCTAGCAGCTCATTGGAAACAACTGGAGAAAGGTTCTTCACAGTTAGGGCTGCTCCATGTGTGGCAAAGCGAATTCGTAGAGGTCTGCTCTTCAAAATGGTGCCATCCAGCTCTGCTTTTGCAATTTCAGCCAGTGTTCTGGATTCCTTTTTAGGAAAAGAAAACATTTTTAAAAGATGAAAGCAACAGGAAAAATTTAAAACAGTGGTTGGCTTCTAGGGAGAACAAGGTAGCTTTAGCAAATGGCTGATAGGATCAATTTGTTTTTATTTCCTTCTTTTTTTTTTTTTTTTTTTTGAGACGGAGTTTCACTCATGTTACCCAGGCTGGAGTGCAATGGCGCGATCTCGGCTCACCACAACCTCCGCCTCCCGCGTTCAGGCAATTCTCCTGCCTCAGCCTCCTTAGTAGCTGGGATTACAGGCACGTGCCACCATGCCCAGCTAATTTTTTGTATTTTTTTAGTAGAGACGGGGTTTCACCATGTTGACCAGGATGGTCTCGATCTCTTGACCTCGTGATCCACCCGCCTCGGCCTCCCAAAGTGCTGGGATTACAGGCTTGAGCCACCGCGCCCGGCCTGTTTTTGATTCTTTTAACATTGGTATCACATGGTTTTAACTATTCAATGACCATTTTAAACACTTTAAGTAAAAGGTCCCAACTCCATTGTTTTGTTAAAAGTCATCATTTAAAGATTAGCTCCTCATAAGCCCAATTACCAACGATTAAATACTCTAACCAATATACTGTAGTTTTAAAATCTCCCACATATATTAAAAGAAACACATATTAATAACTTGACTAGAGGCTGGGCACAGTGGTTCACGCCTGTAATCCCATCACTTTCAGAGGCTGAGGCGGGCGGGTAACCTTAGGTCAGGAGTTCGAGACCAGCCTAGACAAAATGGTGAAACCTCATCTCTACTAAAAATACAAAAATTAGCCAGGCATGGTGGTGTGTGCCTTTAGTCCCAGCTACTTGGGAGGCTGAGGTAAGAGAATCTCTTGAACCTGGGAGGTAGAGGTTGCAGTGAGCCAAGATGGCACCACTGCACTCCAGCCTCGTCAACAGAGCAAGACCCTGTCTCAGAAAAAATAAAAACAAAAAATAATAACTTGACTAGAAACTATCATCAAAGGAATAATTCTCCATATCCTTTGTTTTTTATATCTTAACAAAACATGCCACCTCTCTATGGCCAGACAAATCGTCTTTCTTTTTTATTTGTATTTCTCTTCAATATTTTATGTAAAAACTACTATTAGTTCTTGGGGTTTTTGTTTTGTTTTTTTTTTTTACAGGGGAGGGGAGTGTCTGTGACAGGGTCTTACTCTGTTGCCCAGGATGGAGTACAGTGGCACAATCACAGCTTACTGCAGCCTCAAACTCTTGGGCTCAAGTGATCCTCCCGCCTCACCCGCAGCTGGGACTACAGGCACATGCAACCAAGCCTGGCTAATTTTTTAATTTTTTTTTGTAGAGATGGGGTCTCACTATATTGCCCATGCTGGTCTCCTGAACTCCTGGCCTCAAGCAATCATCTTGCCTTAGCCTCCCAAAATGTGAGATCACAAGTGTGAGCCACCTTGCCCTAGTCAATGCCTTAATTACTTCTCCTGAAAAACTGTCATGGGCTACAAATTTCTCACTATCACATGAAAAGAAACATAGGCAACATTCATGAGCTATAATAGTTCTCGCCATTATATACAGAAGGAGGTGTACATATGCACTTATTATAAACTGAAAAATATGCTCATTGCTGAAACTACAAGGTAAGAGAACTTCCTTCTACTTGGAAAATTCAAAGTTGGTGTAGAATATGGACAGCACCTAAAACAATAAATAACAAACTAGTAAATTTAATAGAGGTATGTCTTTTTCATCATGTTACAGGAACTCTCCAGGGACAACTGAAGAGGCTTTATACATATACGTAAGAAGAATACAAATATACTATCTTATGAAAAATGTCTTAAGGTCACAAGAGATCTTCATGCAATCCCTAAAATGTCCATGACAGCTTGAAATTACTGCCCTTTATTGCAAAAATCTACCTGTAGAATTATTTTTTACAAAAACGAAGTTACCCTTTTTAGAGATACAGTCATGCCTCTGTATCCATGGATTCATCCAAAAGTGGCTCGAAAATATTCGGGACCAGGCCCAGTAGCTCATCCCTGTAATCCCAGCACTTTGGGAAGCTGAGGCAGGTGGATCACTTGAGGTCAGGAGTTCAAGACCAGCCTCCAGGCCAACATTGCAAACCCAGTCTCTATCAAAAAATACAAAAATTAGCCAGGCATGGTGGTGAGCACCTGTAGTCCCAGCTACTTGGGAGGCTGAGGTGGGAGAATCTCTTGAACCCAGAAGGCAGAGATTGCAGTGCACTGAGATCACATCACTGCACTCCAACCTGGGTGACAGAGAGAGACACTGTGTCAAAAAAGAAAAAGAAATAAACAATTTAAAATAATACAGCCCAGCAAGGTGAATGACAAATGTAATCCCAGCACTTTGGGAGGCCAAGGTGGGCAGATCACCTGAGGTCAGGATCACGTGAGATCAGGATCACTGAGACCAGTCTGACAAACATAGAGAAACCCTGTCTTTACTAAAAATACAAAATTAGTCAGTCATGGTGGCACATGCCTATAATCCCAGCTACTTGGGAGGCTGAGGCAGGAGAATCGCTTGAAACTGGGAGGCAGAGGTTGCAGTGAGCCGAGATCACACCATTGCATTCCAGCCAGAACAATAGCGAAACTTCGTCTCAAAAAAAAAAAAGAGACAGACAGAGAGAGATGGGTACGTTCTTACCTAATATATTATGTAATCCAACAGCTCTTGAGAGGTAGACTTTAGAAACAGTCTTGAAAGTGAGAATAGGAAGAAATACGAAGACATTTCATGGGATAATAATATGTATATTTTGATAGAGGTTTGAGTTAAACAGACATATACATTTGTCCAAATTCACAAACTAGTGGCTGGGCATGGTAACTCACGCTTGTCATCCTAGCACTTTGGGAAGCTAAGGCAAAAGGATCACTTAAGCCCAGGAGTTTGAGGCCAGGCACAGTGGCTCATGCCTGTAATCCCAGCACTTTTGGAGGCTGAGGAGGGCAAATCACAAGGTCAGGAATTCAAGACCAGCCTGGCCAATATGGTGAAACTCTGTCTCTACTAAAAAAAATACAAAAATTAGCCAGCATGGTGATGAGCACCTATAGTCTCAGCTACTTAGAAGGCTGAGGCAGGAGAATCACTTGAACCTAGGAGATGGAGGTTGCAGTGAGCTGAGACCACACCACTGCACTCCAGCCTGGGTGACAGAGTGAAACTCCATCTCAACAACAACAACAAAAAAAAAGCCCAGGAGTTTGAGACCTGCTTGGACAACACAGTGAGCCTATGTTTTAAACAAAATTAGTCAGGTGTGGTGGTATATGCCTGTGGTCTCAGCTACCTGAGGGGCTGAGGTGGAAGGATCACTTGAGCCCAGATAGTCAAGCTTAGAGTGAGCCATGATCATGGCACTTCACTTCAGCCTAGGCACTCTGTCTCAAAAGAAAGAAAAAAAAAAAAGGCCAATACAATTAAAATTTGTGTCCTTTAATACATGTAAATTTTTAAAACCCTAAAAAATAATACGCCAGGCGTGGTGACTCACGCCTATAATCCCAGCATTTTGGGAGGCCGAGACAGGCAAATCATTTGAGGCCAGGAGTTTGAGACCTGCCTGGCCAACATGGCAAAACCCCATTTCTACTAAAAATACAAAAAATTAGCCAGGTGTGGTGGCGGACACCTGTAATCCCAGCTACGGGGGAGGCTGAGGCAGGAGAATCACTTGAAACTGGGAGATGGAGGTTGCAGTTAGCCGAGATTGTGCCCCTACCCTCCAGCCTGGGCGACAAGAGTGAAACTCAGTCTCAAAATAATAATAATAATAATAATAATAATAATAATAATAGTGGACTGGGCCAGGTATAGTAGCTCAGACCTGTAATCCCAGCACTTTGGGAGGCAAAGGCAGAAGGATGGCTAGAGCCCAGGAGTTTGACATCAGCCTGGGCAACAAGAAGAGACCTCATATTTACAAAAAAAAAAAAAAAAAAAAAAATTAGTCAGGCATGGTGGCATTCACCTGTAACCCCATCTACTTAGGAAGTTGAGGTGGGAGGATCATTTGAGCCTAGCAGATCAAGGCTGCAGTGAGCCATGTTTGTACTGCTACAATGCAGCCTGGATGACAGAGCAAGATCTGCCTCAGAAATGAACAAACTTTAAAAATAGTTGGGTTTTTTTGTTTTTTTTGCTCTTGCCCAGGCTGGTGTTCAGTGGCACGATCTCAGCTCACTACAACCTCCATGTCCTGGGTTCAAGCAATTCTCCAGACTCAGCCTCCCGAGTAGCTGGGATTACAGGCACATACTACCACGCACGGCTAATTTTTTGTATTTTTAGTGGAGACAAGGTTTCACCATGCTTGCCAGGCTGGTCTCGAACTCCTGACCCTGTGATCTGCCCGCCTCAGCCTCCCAAAGTGCTGGGATTACAGGCATGAGCCGCCACATCCAGCCTAAAAAAATTGTTTTAAGAAGAAACAATAGGCCAGTTGCAGTGGCTCATCATGCCTGTAATCCCAGCACTTTGGGAGGCCAAGGCAGGTGGATCATTTGAGGTCACAAGTATGAGACCAGCCTGACCAACATGGAGAACCCCGTGTTGTTGTTATGAGCCAGATAGTTCTTGTACTCTAGCCTGGGCAAGAAGAGTGAAACTCGTCTTAAAAAACAAAAAAAAAAAAAAAAAAGAAAAAAACAGCCTGGCATGTTGGCTCATGCCTGTAATTCCAACACTTTGGGAGGCCGAGGTGGGAGGATCACAAGGTCAGGAGTTCAAGACCAGCCTGGCCAACTTGGTGAAACCCTGTCTCTACTAAAAATAAAATAAAATAATTAGCTGGGCATGGAGGTACATGGGAGGCTGAAGCAGGAGAACCCAGAAGGCAGAGGTTGCAGTGAGCCGAGATCGTGCCACTGCATTCTAGCCTGGGCTACAGAGCGAGACTCCATCTCAAAAAATAAATAATAAATAAATAAAATAAAAAATCAAGAATCAAAAACCGATGGGTAGAGAAAGATGAACACGTACCTAATAACTAAACATAGC